ATAGGGGGGATGCCACACAGTGGTAAAAATGGACTTGTCCCAACTTTTTGGGGATTTGTTGATGCCATGAAATTTGGAAACAACAGATTTTTCCCTTAAAATGATACATTCTCTCAGTTTAAACTTTTGATCTGTGATTTGTGTTCTATTCTATTCTGAATAAAATATTAGATGTTGGCACCTCCACATCATTGCATTCAGTTTTCATTCACTATTTGTTTAGTGTCCCAACTTTTTTGGAATCCGGTTTGTACATATTTTTACAAATAAAACCTGAAATTTAAATCTGAATTTATCTTTTTTTTTCTTCCAATTTACAATTCTGTGCGACACTGCACTCGCTGGTCTATTACATTAAATGCTTGTGAAATACTAAGGAGTTTGAAGTTGTAATGTGACAAAATGTTGAGAAGTTCAAGCACTATAATGATGCAGATCATTGCAGGTCAACACAGCCAAGAAGCAAGCTTTAAAGTGCAGTATTTACCTGTGGGAGTAGTCTGTCCCAGCAGTGTGTCAGAAGCCTGCACGGTGGTCACCATGGTGCCAGCTGTGGCATCTGCGATGGAGGTGGGGTAATAGGCATACTGAGTCTCAGTGCTGCCATCCCCCTCCAACTCCTCTGACTGAGAGATCACAGCCTGAAAAAGCACAAATACTGGTAGTTGTAACAGATTCATCACTTTCTCCTAAAAGCAGACAAAACTAAACACTACAAGCTGAACCACCCAGTATTTTTCTACTATATAAACTATAAAGGATAGTAAATGGATTGTACTTGTATAACACCTATCTTATCAAGTTACTCAAAGCTCTTTACAGCACAATCTGCGCCTCATTTACCCATTCAAACAGCACTCTACTAGATCTATACAAAGACTAATCAGAGCTTTATCACATTCACACATCGATGGGACAAACATCAGAGGCAATGAGGGGTTCAGTGTCTTGCCCAGGGACACTTCGGCATGTGACTGTTGGTGGAATCGAACCCCCAACTCTTTTTATAGGCGGACGCCTGCTCTAACCACTCAGCCGTTGTAACAATCATGTCATTCAATGAACCCAAACTGCAGCAAGACTTTAAAATAACATCTAATTTTAACAACCTATTCCAAACATAAAAACTTATCGAATTAAAGGCCTAGCATTCTAAAAAGGCACGCATGCATCAAACAATTGCACGCTTCATGAAAATGGTTCATGAGATATTAAACATGCAAACATACACAGACAGCAACATAATAGTCCACCTCCACCTGTTGCCGGGGAATGCTGCAGCAACTCCTGAAGAAGGAAGCTGCTGAAAGTAACTCAGCCAACAAAAAGAGAGCTGACGCCCACAAAACCAGCACAGAACCACGACTGCATCTGACAGAGCTAGTTTTCAGAAAAACTCCCAAAAACCACGGTCTGAAGACGTCCCTGGAGGGAGCACGTGATCCAGCCACAACTCAGGACAGCAGTGCCTGCCTTACAGAAACGCTGCGCGATGCGCTCGGTTTGTTTTGATGACATCACACCACTTTCGTGTGTGATGCTGGACTTGTGTAGCTGCAAAATGTTACTGAGGTAAAAGAGTAAATTTTCATTAACAGTGATACTATTCCAACAAAAAATGACCTGGGAGTGGGAACGCATTCAAATGTTGGAAAATCTTCTTCTGACGCCAGACATAGGCCTGTCATGATAACAAATTTTGCCGGGCGATTAATTGTCTCAGAAATTATTGCGATAAACGATAATATTGTTTGAAATTTTACAATAATTAGTCATTATTGTCAAATTTAAGAAAAAATGTTGGTTAATTTGTTTTGAGCGTAGTACATTTCTTTCGACCACCGGATGGCAGTATAATACGGTTTGAACTGAAGGATGGATAGTGAGGGAGAGAGCAGCGTGTCTCTTTAAGAAAAATGGCAGGGATGCCCCTTGGCATGACATGGGCTGTCTCTCCTTCCTTTTATCGTTTCTCAAAATGGCGGACGCTTGGTGTGGTTTGAGCTCTTTAGCATAACATTTTTCACAAAAAGCTTTTAATAAACATTAAAAAAAATCAGTAAACAAGTTCTCAGCTGCTTTTTGCAGAGAAAAACAACTTTTTACACGAAGGCACGGGTTTCAACTGTGAATTTTGGAGCTTCGACAAGATGGAGGTTTTTTCCTGAGGTCGGCCTGTTAGCTTAGCTCGTAGCGTAGCTTCTTAGCTTATTAACGATCCCAAAATGCAATTTTGGACAGTTAAAACAGATTTTCAAGATAAGAGAAAAAAGAGAAAGGGAGGGGTCAGTGAAGAGCACTGGAGTTGAGCCTTTTCTTATCCAGTGTCTTCAGTAAAAAAGAGAGAGACACGAAGAAATGATAAAGCTGATAAATGAAAATGAGGTCGATAATTTTCATTTATAATGTGATTAATTATTTATTGTTTGTCGCGACAGGTCTAGTCAGACATTACAATAAAATTCAGCTTCAGTATTGATTATTGCAAAATGAGCACTCCATATCTGACAGCTCCCTGCAGATTTTCACCCATCTCTCATTCTGGAGCAGCAAACAGTTTCTATTCCAATTTCTGGAAAACCCCCGTGGTAAGGACCAGATGATGTTTTACCGTTATATATTTCTAAGTTTTAGCTATGTGCTGTTTCAATGTATTGAACATTGTAGTGTGTGTTGCAGTGTGTTGTTCTAACCTGTGTGACGGTCTGTGTCGTTGCAGGGAAACCAGCAACTAGATTGACGGCTGCAGCTCCATCTGTCTGCCCCTCTAACTGGCCGTCCGATACCTGGATCACCCTGTAGGTCACCTGCAACCCAACACATTACCCTGAGGTGTGGAGATCTCATGATTACACCTGCACACACATCGGCATCTTCCTTGATGTAAATCAAGTGCATGAACTACACACCAGTGGATTTCCAGCTGTGAGTTCAGAAACGTTAGAAGGTCTTCAAAAATAAGGAAACTTCACTTGCTCTCGTGCAAGGCGGACACCTTTCCTTCCCTCTCCCGTCCTCCTCCTGCCTTGTGCTCTCTGTCTGTGTATAGGAGCTCGTATTTTACACATCATCCGAAACTAAAACTTCAGTCATGGATCTGGTCAGCTGGACTTCAACACAATCGATAAAATATTTTCAACAAAGCGACAGGGTCCTGGAGAAACCTCATGCCCCGCTAAGACAAACGCGGCAGGATACGTCATGGATCCGTGGGGAGTTTAGGAGCTGATGTGCCTTTCCGTTTTGTCTCAGGAGGACACCGAAGATGTTTATATAAATGGAACCATGATAGCAGGGGTTCTGCTTTTTGGCATTGGCGGGTTCCTACGTTATCTGTAGGGGTGTAGCGGTACACTAAAATCACATTTAGGTTCGGTTCAGTTTAAGAGAGCTTGGTTCGGTTAATTTTTGGTACAAAAAAAGGCCAAAATAAAAACTTACAAAATGTTTATTTTGAAAATATGCCAAATAAACAAGTTGTCATTACAGAGTTCTTAGCTGGAGGTGATCTGGTGGATGAAGAAGACTCAGCTGCTATCATCCTGAGACTGCAAACACAGAGATAAAAAAAATGGAGTTAATAAGATTATATAATTTTAAACTAAAAAGTTAATTAGATCACAATAATACAATAACAATACCTCTTCTTGCACGGTCATCATATGAGGTGGTTGAATATCCTCTCTCGCTCATCATCATCATGTGGCAGGGCTTTAATCTGGTCCAGGGCTTGTTGACCATCAGTTTTATCTTTTTCATAAAGTGCTGCTACAACTTTCTGGCTGAAGTGTTGACATGATGGGATGTCGTAGCGGAGCTCAATAACTTTACTCATATGCTTAAAGCCGTCGCATCAACAACAGAATACGGACGTAGATCCAGAGCTTTAAACACTCCTACAGCTTGTGTTACTGCTTTGGACCGATCTGAATGACCTGATAAAGGTTGTTTAAATGCTGCTCTTATCGATCTTTACACCGTCCTTGAAGAGACATTCACATTCAGATGATGTCGTTTCAAGTGCTTTAACAAGTTAGACGTGTTGCTGTTGCAGATCCAGTCTCCGTGAAACAACGTCGACACACAGCTTTGGATTTGTTCACTTGTCTTTTACACAAAAAGCCATAATGTTCCCAAACAGGAGACCGCAACGAGATGGCTTGTTCGTTGCCTGCTAGGCTGCTAATGCTACGCGTGCTGCAAGATAATAGCGCCGTGCTGAAACACACTTAAGAACTTTTGTTCTGCGGCGCATACACTCTTGTTAATAAAATTTAATGAGTGATAAAATAACCGAAACGGTACGCAGGTGGACTGAACCGACACCCCTAGTTATTGGCTATTGAAGAAAACGGAGGCAGCAGTTTCAGCCAACTGTTGAGTCTGTGTGAAGGTTTGGTTCGTGCCTTGAGCACTCAAAATCAGCTGATTTACGAGCTAAACCATAAGATGGAAGCGATTTGTGAGAATCGCAGGTCACTTGTGGTTTCAGGGACTCGCCAGCACGTTGGAGACGACCTTGGAGGGGACTCATAAGCATGGACCAGTGGAATGCCCATAAATCTGGCCATTTTGGATCAAAAGTACCAGCAGGACTCAAGGCTGACAAGAAATAACAGTCTGCCTGAAAAAAAATCAACAATTGTGGCTTTTCTGAATCTGACTCCCTCGTTTGGTCTCGAAGCAGTCAGACTTATCAAATTTCTCCTGGGATATGTGTAAACTAAAGAAAAGCTTTGTCTATCGCACCCCCCCACCCCACCTCCGCAGAGTTCTGTGAAGGCTTATCAGAGCTGTACCAGCTGACACCATCTTATCAGGACTATGGGCTACCTGGAAGTGTTTCATGGACATATCTCACCATCTTGTCAAATGCATATGTAACGTGTTTATAAATGTGCTGCTGGTAGAGATTTTTTAATGTCTTACATCATGTCCTAATAAGGACAAGATGTGAAGAGATCTTTTTTGTAATACCACTATCCTCTCCTCATGGCCTTATCCCCTGTTCTATTTAAAAAGTATTCTGAAAAAGGATAAGGGGCTGTGCTCTTAGGAGCAGCAGCAAGGTGCACTCCGCCCATTGTTTAGGATGACTGTATGAACATAATCTCACTGTATTTCAATACAATGATAATAAAGCTTATTCTGATTCTGATTCTTTATCTAACATAATTGAGTGGAAAGGAAATTATTTTATTGTAGTAAATCTAAAATACACTGCCTGGCCAAAAACAAAAGGTCACACACTAATGTTTCGTTGGGGCGCCTTTAGCTTTGATTATGGCATGAATTCTCTGTGGCATTGTTTCTATAAGTTTCTACAATGTCACATCTATTTCCACCCGGTGTTTACATGCGCAAAATTCTTTGACTGGATTGAAATGTTTTTAGATTAAATAACTCCAACGTTTCCTTTACATGGGCACAATCTGTTCACGGCGAGCGTTTACATGCAGCGGGCTTTGATTCTGAACAGCAGTACTGACATGTGCAAAGTGGTCAACTCTCTTTAAAATAACACAGAAGAAGAAGTTCTACTTCTGTTCTACTTCCGGTTTACTTCCGTGATGAAAGTAAACAAACCTGAGCACCCAAAATGGACCCGCGGCAGGTTTTAATGACGCTGGAGACGTTGCTGCACTCCATCACTGAGCTGCAGGTGATGCAGATCATTTTGAGCTCTTTCAAAGTTTCTAGTAGAAATGTTGTCGCTCACCGACCACTTTTACTTCCCCGACATGCTAATACTATTAGCATTAGCCAGGTGGAAATGACATAAGGTCGCACATGTGCAGTCAGGTCAGTTTTCCACAATCGGAAAAAAAATGAACAGATCAAGTGTTTACTCAGTGCTTCTCAATTATTTTCTGTTATGCCCCCCTAGGAAGAAGTAAATATTTCACCCCCCCACCTCTCCGCCATGACTGTAATTATTATGATTTGTCTATAAAATTGTTATAAGTGCATCTCTGCATAACATCGTGTCCTTATCAACATTAAAGGAAAAAAAGAATATAGATCAACTTACAACGAAAAATAACTTTAACATTATTTTATAGTGTGTAACAGAAACAAGTTGAAGTGCATCAATTTGCCTGAAAAAAAAACTTAAATCCTTATTTAAACTGTAATCATTTTTTGACAATTTGATACTGAAAATAAAAATATATAATCAATAAATAATATTCAAATTGATCAGCAACATTTTAACTCACGGGTGTTTTATAAAACACTTTGACCTACAAAACTAAATAAAACAATAATGAATCAAACAATTTGTGCTGATTTTTTTAATCAAAATGAGGAAGTCAGGATCAATGAACACAATCATCGATCAAAATGTAAAAAACTGTCAACACGAAAGAGGAAAGAGGAGCAGGTAACCCTCTCGCTTTGAATCTACTCTTAGTCACCTGCGTGCTGTGGGTGACAAGCGTCCAGAGCGTCTAAAACAGCAGCTTCACTGAAGAGGTGAATTTATTTTGTTAGCAAAGAACAGAGTCCTAACAATTATTAAACATTACTTCTATAAATTGTGCTTTGACAAACTCATCGATAAAACCAAAACATTTAGTCAACGCAACAGAGGAAAGAGATGGCAGGTGTCACTCTCGCTTTGAGTTTACTCTTTGTTGCATGCACTGTGAGTGACGTGCACGCGCTGAGATCTGATAATAATCCGAATGGGGCGTTTACATGACACATTTTTATTCTGAATGGCCGTTTAATCCGATTACTTACGTGCATGTAAACATAGCTTGTGTTACCAACAAAGTCCATGCTCAATAATCCAGGATTACAATCCAAGAATTTTCAGTCAGGTCATCTGGACAGTTTCATTTTTTATTTTTTTTGTGCTGAAACATTTCACCTTCCATCCAGAAGGCTTCATCAGTCAAGGAAACGCACAACACAAAACTGATTCTTCCCTGAACAGCTTACTCCAAAGTGGAAGCTAGTGTTTGGATAGCTAGTGTTGCATTAATTCTTCACCAAGCTCTTGCATTGATGATGGCAGATTGTGACCACTGTGCAAAGCCTTCTCCAACACATCCCAAAGATTCTCAATGGGGTTCAGGTCTGGACTCTGTGGTGGACAATCCATGTGTGAAAATGATGTCTCATGCTCCCAGAACCACTCTTTCACAATTCGAGCCTCATGAATCCTGGCATTGTCATCTTGGAATATGCACGTGCCATCGGGGAAGAAAAAATCCATTGATGGAATAAGCTGATCATATTCAGGTCGTCAGCTGAACTCATTCTTTGAGCACAAACTGTTGCTGAACCTGGACCTGAGCAACTGCAGCAACCCCACATCATAACACTGCCCCCACAGGCTTGTACAGCAGGCCACTTTTTTTTTCCGGCCACATTTTTTCCTCCAAGACGATGGGTCTCCACTATCCTTCCAGTTTTTAATAATGTGTTGGATACTTCTTAACCCAGTTTTAGTAGTTTCTACAATCTCCTTAGATGTTTTCTCTGCTTGATGCCAATGATTTGACCCTTCTCAAACATCTTTTCCACGTCCACGTGATGTGTCTTTAACACGGTCGTTTAAGAAATGAGAAGCAACTCATTGCACCAGTTGGAGTTAAATAACTTGTTGCAGCTGAAAGATCATCACCCATGAGGTAATTATCCAACAGGAGGCGCCGACCTATTTACTTAGTTAAATCCAGGTGGTGACTTTTTTTTGGGCCAGGCAGTGTATGATGCAACAATAAACTCTAAAATGTTGAGAGGCAAAAAAAAAGTGTTTTCAAATATGTTGGCACTTCCAAAACAACAACTACACTGTGGCTTAGACAGCTTCTGGATGCCTTTTTGAACATTGTATCTTGAGTTTTGTGTGTGTGTGTGTGTGTGTGTGTGTGTGTGTGTGTGTGTGTGTGTGTGTGTGTGTGTGTGTGTGTGTGTGTGTGTGTGTGTGTGTGTGGGTGTGTGTGTGTGTGTGTGCATGTGTGTGTGTGTGCATAGGTCTTGTTCTTGTTAAACAGTTTTTATTCTGTAAAATGTGCTTTATAAATAAATTTGCCTCTCCTTCTCTTATCAATTTTTGTTACCCTCCAACAATTCTCTTTTGTAAGCACGAGTGGAAAAAGATCCAGCTGCAGTCCAAGAGTGAATATCATCCAGTGTTTAACTTGCTGAAAAGTTCCCAACCTTTATTTTAACTCTTTCCAAATAACTCCACCCTACCTGTCCACAGGCTCCTTCTGCCTTAAAGAGATATTTGATGGGTTGGTCAGTGAAGGTAGCAGCAGACTGAATGGTGGCAATCGCTGCTGGATCTTCTGCAGTGGCCACAGAGCCTGAAGAATCAGAAGCAACACATTTTAAACCACTTGATAGCTCTCACAAGTCAATTTTCAGGATTAAAGTAACATTCGGTAAAACCAACAAAGTCCATGCTCAACAATCCAAATCCAATCCATTAGGTAAAACCAAACTGCATCAGTTTAGATTTGGCTGTAAGTCAGTTCAGGAGCTGCACGTGGCTTTTCAGAGCGCCTGAAGTAGCTTCCTGTGTCTGAGACAACAAACAAACTGAACCTCATTTACTGAACAATATGTACTAATAAACGTAATATATAATAAAACTAATATGGACAGTAATGTACAATAGAAAATCGTACTTTTAGCTGAAACATAAACTGAAGTAACATAACATACATGAGAGGTTGTTTTGTCTAATATGTTTATCCTGATGCATGCTCAATAATCCAGGTAGAACAATCTAACAAAGTTAAATCAGGTCGTCTGGACAGATTTAAAAGAAAAACATGTTGAGAAACATTTCATCTTTGTGTAAAGACTTCATCAGTCTGAAGAGCTGCAATAAACCCAGTCTTATAAAAAGCACCTTCTCAAAGTGGATCATCCAGTTTGTTGCTGACATCCAGAAGAAGCTGTTCTAAACACAACGTCCCAGTGGCTTTTAAACCCCAAAATACATTACGGCAAAGACTGGTTCATCCCAAAGATCCAGTCCCCCGGCACAAACAGAGTAATGTTGTGTATGCTGTTCAGTGTCAGGAGGGCTGTGATCAGTCTTACATCGGGGAAACTAAACAGCCACTGGCCAAAAGGATGGCCCAGCACAGAAGATCAACATCATCAGGCCAGGACTCTGCGGTCTACACTCATCTCCAGGCCAGCGGTCACTCTTTCAGGGATGAAGATGTTCACATCCTGGACAGAGAGGAACGATGGTTTGAGAGAGGAGTAAAGGAGGCCATCTTTGTGAAAAGAAACCGTCCATCATTAAACAGGGGTGGAGGCCTCCGGGTTCAACTGTCCCCCTCTTACAATGCTGTGATTGCTAGTATCACTCAGCCCTCTGTGAGTAGTAAACAGCCATCAGTGTGCTAATGATCCATCGTTAGGCTGATGGTCCTCCTTTATCATGTGAACAGCTGGTTCTGGATGTCACCAGATGTTTGCTGCAGCTCCTCAGACTGAAGAAGTCTTTTGGATAAAAGACGAAAACATTTCAACAAGTTTTGTTTAATCTGTCCAGAGGACCTGACTTAACTTTGATTAATTCAAATAATGTACTGTATATACCAGAGGTTGTCGTTTTAATATGGACGGGATGTTATTTCTCTCTATATATGTAAAGGACTCAGTCTGATCTACAAAATGTCAGCTCCTTCTCTAGAAATATATATTTTTATAAAGGATGCTTCTAGGAGCCAAGTGAAGTAGCAAACATTTATTTTGTAGGTATTTTTATTGCACAAAAATACTGAACCGATAGTAACTGATTTACGAAAATGCACACACATTTCAGATTAGTTTCATAGATTTGGAACACAGAAAAATATTATACAAATCAATAAACATTGTGCTTTTTGTGCATGCAGTCCTCAGATTTACCTTCTTCACTGACGGTGACAGTTCCGTCCGGTTGCGGGCCTTTCTGTTGGCTGCAGTCATCAAAACACAAGAGCAAATGCAGGAAAGCACATAAAATGCACTGACTGTGTGAGTTAACGCTTTTATTTTGTTGTGATCCGGTTCAAGATGGCGCATGTCGCCGTCCTGCTCACCTCTTCATTTCTGAACGGGCAGACCTCCTGCACTCGCTTCGACAGCCAAGCAGCGGAGACACATTAGTTTCAAGAAAAGATTAGGGGACCTTTCCTCCACACAAAATAATGCTTAATATCCTCAAAATAAATTCATGCGAATGACACTAAGATGGAGAAATCAACCGAAAACGTTGTTCAAAAATGCTGGAGAACCATGGGTTGCAACAAACGTTACTATGGGTGATACCGGAAACTCCTCAGAGCTGCCTTCAAAGTTAAAGCATGGTTATCGTGGATACGCGACAAAGATTACAAAACTGCGTTTTACATACACGGAATGACATTTTAAAAGAAATACTATACGACTAATATTACTATTATTACAGTTAAGCCTTTTGCAGATGTATCATAGGCAATCGTAACTTTTATTTTGACGGTTTCTCGAGGAAAAAATCTATAATCGACGCATGTTTTTCTAGAAAGTTGTTTAATAAATTATTTTTAGTTTTTACTTTAGTAGAACGGACATTATTTACAAATAAAACTGTCGACATAACATTCAAATGTAAAAGTATATATATATATATGATATATATTTGGTTTTATAAACGCCAACGTTGTTTTTAGTTGTGCGCATGCGCAACCGGAAGTTTCTTGTGTTGCGTAAAAGAAAACAACAAAACAAGTGATTTTAATGTCTAAGGGAATCGTATGAACACCAATTCAGTCGGATCATTGTGTGTTTTTGTAAAATAAATTAGAAACTAAACTAGAACTGCTCATAATCAGCATAATACAACTAATCAAAATTAAATATGATAAACACACTTTTGATTTATAAACCTATTAGTTTGTAACTACGCACGTATCGGGTTTCGAAACGTTTTACTATAAACATCTGTTGTGGTAAAACAGTTTGAAGAGGAAAAAACGGAGGTTCTGCGTTTGTCTAACTTGACGCAGGTGAAAAATATAAATATAAAATATCGCTGTAACGTCGAGAGGGATCGCTGTTGTGCGTGTGTAAAAAGCTAAAACTGTCTGAAGATGTTGATGTTTTTTTACCTCAAGCTAGCTCCGGTGGGGGGTCACGAAATTTAAAATCGGATACTTACGGGTTAGTTTTAGTATAATTAATTTTTGTATTTTTTAAGGTGTAGCTCTGGGACGAGATGTAAAGTTTAGGTCCAAAAAGCACTGGGCAGCGCCCGCGGTTCGAACCCGTGTGACGGGAAGGAACTAATTCGAATAAGAATTGTTGAAGTAACCGCTGAGCTATACCAGTGCACAGAACACTGCAGAGAATAAGACTCTTACAGGCTACAGTCCAGCATTAATGACGTCATTACTGGAGGTTAGTGTTGAGTCGTTTTTATCGTTCAAAGACGAAGCGGTAATGTTTTTGCCCATGTCACATTTACAGGTCTCTCTTGTAAAGGAGTCCTCGTGGCTCAATGACAATAGCCTGTATAAATAAAGGTTGGATGAAAATATCCGTGTACATTTGTTTGTTAGCACAATATCTCATGAATCACTGCATGAAACTCAGAGTAGGAGCAACAACTGATTCCCTTTTCGGATCAGTACCATTTTAAATGTTTGCCACAACTAAGTAATCTTGGCAAGCAACAAAATAAATAAAACTCAGCCTATTTTACGGATACTGAGCTAAAATAAAAATAAAATAATGGTGGTAGCCAAACAGGTGTATAGAACCACTAGAGGGCGAACTGGTCAAGTGCAACAGCGGCCATTACCAAAAAGGTCAAACCAAACGTCTGCATTTTGGTGGTTCAATAACTCTGAGTAAGGGCTGACTATGTAAAACATGTAAAATATTATAAATGGTATGTAATATAATACTAATAATTTTAAGAAATGCACTGTACTTATAGCGCTTTTCTCTCTTATCAAGACACTCAAAGCGCTTTACGTCTGTGTCCTCATTTACCCATTCATCCAGCATTATATCTGTGCAAAACTAGTTGAACAAATCATGCTAAAGAGACTAATCAGAGCTTTATCACATTCGTACAGCGTGGGACTCACATTGGAGACAATGAGGTGTTCAGTGTCTTGCCCAGGGACACTTCAGCATGACTGCTGGTGGAATCAAACCCCCAACTCTCGCATTGGAGGACAACCCTTGTAAATACATGTACATTTTTAAGTTTAAAAAATAAATAAATACATAAATCTTTAAGAGCCATGAATTTTCTCATTTTGCCAGATCTCCAAAGGTTTACGTTGGAGATTTAGCACACACCAAAATCATGACAACCAGACATTAAAAAAAAAATCAAGTAGCACTGAACAGAAATATTTATGTGCTCCCGTTATCTCTGCAGCATAGAGAAATGTGAGCTCAGCGTTTCCAAACCATATCCTTGGGTTTAAAAGATATGATGTACAAAGCACACTTCTGTTCCTTTCACAACACGATTTGTTCACTTCTGAATAAAACATTTGCATAACCAAGTGGTGGGAGTGGTGGCGCAGAGGTTAGAGGGATCGGAAGACTGTCTGTTCAACTCCCGGTATCGACCATCAAAATGTGGGTGGGAATAGTGAAGTACCCACACCTGCCTCCACCCTCATTTGCCCCACTCTGAGCCCCTGAGAAGGCCCTTAATTCCCACCATCTGCTCCCCCAGGTGCCCTAGATGTCAGCTCCCTGCTCCTCACAGAGGGCTGTGGTAGCTCGGTGGTCTGTGGTTGTGTCAGGAAGAACATCCAGCGTAAACATAATTGCCAAATAACAAAAGTCCATGCTCAATAATCCATCCATCCATTATCTTTACCCGCTTATTCCATCTTGGGTCACGGGGGTTGCCGGTGCCCATATCCAGCAGTCACTGTGGCAGGGTACACCCTGGATGGGTCACAAGTCCATCACAGGGCCACATAGACAAACAACCATTCACGCTCTCACTCACACCTAGGGACAATTTAGAGTTACCAATCAGCCTAACATGCATGTTTTTGGTCTGTGGGAGGAAACCGGAGCACCCGGAGAAAACCCACGCATGCACGGAGAGAACATGCAAACTCCACCCAGAAAGGCCCCTGGACCGGCGTTTTGAACCAAGGACCTACTCGCTGAGAGGCAGCAGCTCTACCAGTTGCGCCACCATGCTGCCTATTTCCATCGAGTGTTGCATTAATTTTTCACCAAGATCTTGCATTTTTGCAGGATTTTCCTGGAGTTTCCTGTAAAAACTTGAAAAGGAGAAAACAATCAATCGATTATTGAGCATGCATCAGGATAATCAATCGATCGTTGTATTATAGATTGTACCCAGGGGAAGCCACTCCCTGTCTTTATGGACTTCCAAAAATACATAAAGAAGGAACACCACTCAGACCCATCGTCAGCAGCATGAACTCATTGACATACAATATTGCTAAACATCTGGCTGGTATTTTAGCTCCTCTTGTTGGAAACACACCTCATCACATAAAGAACTCCATTGATTTTGCTAACAAAGTTCAACATTTGAAACTAACCCCAGGAGAAACCCTTGTATCGTATGATGTGACTTCTCTTTTCACATGCACACCCATCTCTGAAGCAGTAGAAACCGTCAGAAAACAACTTCTACAAGACAATGACTTAATCAACAGGACCAACTTCACCCTGGACCAGATCTGCACCCTGTTGGATCTCTTGTCTCTCCACCACTTATTACAAGTTCAATGACAGTTTTTACAGACAGAAGCACGGCTGTGCCATGGGATCTCCAGTGTCACCCATTGTTGCCAATCTCTACATGGAGGAAGTGGAACAGAGAGCCCTAAACTCCTATGAGGGAACAACGCCAAGCCATTGGTTCCGATATGTAGATGACACCTGGGTCAAAATCCAAGCCAAGGAAATAGAAGCGTTCACCAGACACATTAACTCGGTCGATAACAACATCAAGTTCACCAGAGAGGAAGCAAACAACAACAAGCTGCCTTTTTTGGACTATTTGGTTCAGATGGAGAGAGAGGACAGCCTCAACATTGAAGTTTACAGAAAACCAACCCACACAGACCAGTATCTTCTGTTTGACTCCCACCATCCACTGGAGCACAAACTCTCTGTCATCAGAACTTTACAACATCGGGCCGAACGCATCTCCACAAAGACAGAAGGGAAGGAAAAGGAACAGAAACACATTAAAGAAGCTCTTCAAACATGTGGATATCCTAACTGGACTTTTGTCAAGTCAGAGAGGAAATCTACAAAACACACTAATAAACAGAAAAAGGAGAACAACAGACGTAAAAACATTGTCATCCCTTATGTTGCTGGAGTATCAGAGAAATTCAGAAGGATCTTCAACAAACACAACATCCCAGTACATTTCAAACCCAGCAGGACTCTCAGACAGAGGCTGGTCCACCCTAAGGACAAAACACCCATACACAAACAGAGTGGTGTAGTGTATGCGGTCCAGTGCAGCGAGGACTGTCCAGACCTCTACATTGGAGAAACTAAACAGCCTCTTCACAGACGCATGACTCAACACAGGAGAGCCACCTCCTCTGGACAAAATTCAGCTGTTCACCTCCACCTCACGGATAAGGGACACTCTTTTGAGG